AAATATCTAAATATTTTCATCTTAATCAGTATATATTTTAGAAACTTCTTAAACACGAATAACATTTGACAATTTTTCCGGTTTCGGGTTTTCGGAGATTTCGTGATAAAATATTACTATTTGCTTCAGTATGAATAATTTGTGGTCATGAAATTTTGTCAGTTTCCTTATACAATGAAGTTTGTTATGTTTAAAATAGAGTTACATTTGACAAATTTTCTTGTTTCCTTTTTTCGGGGATTTATGATGAAATCTTTATTTCTGCCTCAAAATACTACTTTCTAGTAACGAAATTTTGTCAGTTTCCTTGTACAATCACGTTAGTGATGTTTTTATTAGAGTTATAAAAGATGTGACTTCAGCATGTTCAGCAAAAACATTATTTAAATTTCCTTTTTCGTTAGATTTAAAAAAAAAAAAACATTATTTGAACCCACACTATAGCAAATATTATGACTTCATAGACCCAAAAGGTCTAAAATCTAAAGAAGTTTCTGTTGCAATTTTATGATGTTTAAAACTTTTCTTCGCACTGTTGTTCGAATGAAATGCTTATATATAGATATAAGAATATGTGGTATGAGTGCCAATGAGACAACTCTCCATCCAAGTCAATTCTACAAAATTTACAATTTGTAAAAAGTAAACCATTAAAGGTCAAAGTACGGCCTTCAAAACGGAGCCTTGGCTCACACCGAACAGCAAGCTATAAAGGGCCCCAAAAAAAGACTAGTGTAAAACCATTCAAGCAGGAAACCCAAATCTATAGTCTAAATATAGTCTAATCTATATAAAAAACGAGAAATGAGAATCACTTATGAACCACATCAACAAACGACAACTACTGAACAACAGGTTCCTGACGTAGGACAGGTGCAAACAAATGCAGCGGGTTTAAACGTTTTAACATCCGCCAACTTACACCCTAACCTGAGACAGTGGTATGACATTACAACGTAGAACGACACACTATTAAATATCAATTGAAATGGCTTAACTCGATCAAAAAGAAATATTTACAAGACAAGTAAACATATACTGAACTAATAAATTCGATCTTTGACCCAATATAAATACAATATGTAAAACAATGTCAAAAAGACAACTTTAACCTGAGACAAAATGGTATTAAATAAAATTACGTACACAGGTAGCTATAAATAAAATAATGTTATTGTTAGGAGTACGAAAATATGTTGTACAAAATTATTTTGTTGTTCATAGTTCGAAAACAGAAGTAAATATTTATCGTAATAATAAACACTTATTGAAGGTGATACATATAAAAAATAGTAAGACGCGATTAACACAAAAAACATCAAACATTGAATAACAAAAATGCATTACAAATTGTGTCAACAGGTCAAATCAACACGAAAGAACGATTTGGTAGTACTTGCATTTACTGAAAGAAAAATAGTTAAAAAAATCATGCATTGAGACTATGTCAGAATAAGGTCCTTGTTGCTTGAAAGACTTTATAAACAAAATTGCATATCTTTGCTGCTTTATCATTCTGTTTTTTTTTTTTTTTTTTTTGGTGATATGCTTTCCCGAACTTCTCATGTTTAGTTTCATACATATAAACATTTCTCACAAATTTCACAAAATACCACTATAGCCTGGTATACGCATTATGTTTTTGTTTTTAATATGAAAATTATTACATTATATCATAACTCAATTTTCATCGTTTCAATGAAGCGTCGGAGAATATCGAAACTGCTTTTGCTGTTCGTCGACCGCCTTCTTTGTCAATTAATCTGCTTTCAGGACAAATGTCCATTTTCAAAATCTACGGCACAATATACATTTGTTTTTGATTAATTTGAATGCAATGTTTATATCCTAATAAGGTGTGTAAATATTGGGTTCGCTGACTCAAATAAACACTTTTGTTTTGTTTGTTAGTTAATTGCCCCAGTTTACACTTCAATAACCTTCAGAAAAAAATGTGTTTAGTCCTATAATAATAAAATCGAGACCCAAGGTAAGGCAGCATCCTTCTAGGTAATGCCTTAAGTGGAACTTTTGATCCCATTAATCTGTAAAATATTCATTTTTAGGTAAATTAATCAAAAAATTTCTAAATGCTACGTCTAGTTACATATAGAAGAGGGGCGAAATATACCAGAGGGACATTCAAACTCATAAATCGAAAATAAACTGACAACGCCATGGCTAAAAAGAAAAATACAAACTGACAAACAATAGTACACAAAACACAACATAGAAAACTAAAGACTAAGCAACACAAACCCCACCAAAAATTGGGGGTGATCACAGGTGCTCCGGAAGGGTAAGAAGATCCTACTCCACATGTGGCACCCGTCGCGTTGCTCATGTTAGTACAAACCCGGTAACAAGTCTTATTCGGTAGGTCACATTCGTGAAAAGGGGACGGGATTGTAGTAACGACATTAGGAAAATATCTGCTATCGTCTGTGAAACAGTTATTCCATAATGGTCAACCAATTCGTGATGGCGTCCGTAAAATTAACGAAGGGATGATTTCAACTTCACCATTTGGAACTCTTGTTTTAATAGCTTCCTTGTGAGCAGCAACCCTTTATCAAGGAAATCATGATACGAAGTACAAGCGCGGGAATATCGTATCAATTGAGAGATATATACTCTGTAAGCAGGCGCTGCTGGAATGTTGCTACATAGAAATGGAAAGTTCACAATTCGGAAGCTGAAATCATCTCTCTTTTCATAAACTATTGTTTTCAACCGACTCTCATTGTCATATAGCATAGTTTCTTATTTTAACCTACCACCTACCCCCTACCCCCTACTCCCTACACCCCCCCCCCCCCCCCCCCCTTTCCCCCATTCCCACATTACACCATTACAGCCGTTATCTGTTTAAAGTATAAAAAGGCTGACCCGATTTATTTTATGTGTCAACTGCACATGTTTTATCAATTTTATTTCTTTAAAATTACTTTTGAAAGTGACAAGAAAGTCTTCTATATTCAAAAGAATAATGTTTTAGGTTATCTCCCATGGAAACTTATTAACAACGTATTGTAATTTCACATATATTTTATTGAATATAAGATGTTTTAATTCAAATGATGTCTGATTCTTATGAATATAGAAGACTTTTCGAAAGAAAAATTGTATGAAAGCTTAGTTTGGACATTTTTATAGCAATTCAAAATTACTACCTATCACCTTTAGCATGACAATAACAATAAAGTTTCTATACAAACTGTTAGACTGATATTTCATATTAACATTTAAGGGGAATTAAAGTCTTATTGGATTGTAAGTAAGCTTTATTTGATCACCTTGCAATCTCACGGCTTGACTATGGTTTTCTACAGCAGTTTGTTCATATTTCTGACCAGTTGAACAGTTTGGTTTTGTAAAACAAATTGCAATTTGGTCAGAATTTTGAATAAGTTGCAATAGATGGAGAGCAACACTAACAGTCAAGTCACAGTAAGCCTTTTTGATTTGAGCGTCACTGATGAGCTTTTTGGGACGAAATCCGCGTCTGGCGTACACAATTTAAATCCTGATATATATCATGAGTTTATCCATTTCCAGTTGGTGCGGTGAAGCCCTCTTTCACAACCCTATGGTATATACATTTTGTACATTTTAACAAAAAACAGCAGAAAAAATGCAAAAAACTAAACCTATAAATTTATTGAAAGAGAGCTCCAACTGTATCAATCAAGAAGCAAAAGATAATAATAAACCACGCCTGTTGATAACGAGCCCACATATCTAATTTTAAACAGGTATTTTTGTCATGTCAAGGCCATGCTCCGGAAATGCAAGTGGATCCTGCTCCACAGCTGGCATCCGTTGTTTTGTTTATGTATGCTCAATAGTTTCTCGGAAATATAATATAACGGCATTTGTTCAGTGCCCTCTTCGGACAACAATTCAATATACAATATAATTTGAAATCCAATTGGTGATGACCCCTCCGTTCTGTGGGATGGTAGGTGTTGACTGTCCATCATTCTGCCTTTTGGACCCATAAATATTTACAAATGTGTGTAATCCCTTTCGATCTTATCGACTATAGTATGTGAGGAATTGCCATAACTTGGTAATGATATGATGTCGTACTTTGTTTTTTTTAAATATTCTCCTCTAACACATGACCAATTTTAACCAATCTTAATCTGAAATGTCTAAATGAAGCTTAGGGTGTAAATCAAGAAGTTGTTGTGTTTGCGATTTATGCACAAGCTTCAAGTAGGTATTGCTTTTACATGGAATGACTGTCATTATATATGAACCTAACACAAAAGAGCTATGATTTATTGAAATAGAAACATCGAAAAAAAAAGCAAGAGTGCCATGACTTTTCCTCCTTGATAGCGCAATAACATGTTTTGACTTTTTTTAAGTATGTTTACATAATAACTTGATTTACTATAGATAGACAAAACTTTAAACAACAGAAACTGGTCAAAAATAATAGATCTTCAATCGGCTTCTAGTAGTTGCGTTTGCTTTAAGTTGACGATTTATGATTAAGTGCTTGCAACAATTATTTTGATAAAAAATAATATCTCTTTTTTAAACAGGAACATTAACAGCAAAAATGACCACTAGCTGGTCAAATACATTATGCAAGACATATGATTGAATTTGAAAATCGACGCTTCATAGAAGTTTTTGACGATAAAAACCGAATGTTATCAATTTTGCTAATCCCTTGGAACCTATAGTGCATGAACGTAAGAGTAAACAAATTAACAGGCAATGATGACGAGCCTTATCGTTTCGATCAATTAAGGGATAAAGTAGCATATAAAAATTAAAAATGAGTATTGATAATATCTTTTGCAGTACAAAGATTTGATAACAAGTACAAACAGATTTAGGCGAAAACTCTATACATCAATAGAGTACAAATGTACGTTACAAGAGGGATTTGGCTCATTGTCGCAGGCGTATAATCTTTACGATACAGTGAACAAAATGGCCCTGAAAGTCTTGAAAGCAGCTGGAAAAATAAATAATTGCAGGAATAACTACAGGATTTAAAATTGAAAGACAAAACGAACATTAAATTACAAAATTATGACATCATTGAAATATCATACAAATCTTCTGTTTCTGTCCAATGAAATGATCATATTTGTCTTCCTGGTCATCAACACTTCTTTTATGGGTCGTTGAATCATAAACATCATCAACGGTATGACTATAAATGTTACCATCAGCCTCCTTGTGACGATTACATCCTGAAATATCATAGGTTCCTTCTTCGGATTGGCAATAAATGTTATCTTGTTCTGTTTTCAGTTTTTGTATGTTTTCGCTTGAACTTGTTGGGTTAGCAAGCGCATAAGACTCAGATCCTGTAAAACGTGTTTCATGTTGATGCAAACCTTTAGAGAGGTTTGTCGGATCTGTCTTTTGTTTTAATCCTTTAATAATACTCGTATTTTCATTCATTTGCATGTTACACTGGTTATCGTTTGTCCCAATGCTTTTAACGTTTTTGTTATTTCTTTTGGCAGTACCACTGGTTAAAGATACACTTTGATTGGCAACATTATCACTATTGTCAAGACCGGTTTTCTGTTTTTCTTTAGATTTTCTGCACAAAATTTGCCTGTAAGGTGAATAGATTTCATTATTTTTTTGGTATTTTCACCTGAAATATGCAGTGCATTTGCGTAACAACTATTTGATGTAACTCAAATATGATTTAAACCAATTGGCCTCTCAAATTAAAAAAAGGAATGTTGATATGTAGAGTGTATCAAACCGTGTTTGTTTGAATGTGTCTAATGTACAGTGCAACGATTTTTTTCTGCTATTATATGATAAATAAAATGTTGTTAACATTTATATTTTGGTAGTATATTATGTACTCCACTAATTACTAATGATATAAGTAAAAACATGTTTTTGCCATTTAAATAATAATCATTAATATTTATAAATTTTCAGATGCTATATCGTTCATTTTTAAACATAAAACCTTTCCGGAAACTGTTTATCAAAAGTAAGTTATTCTTATAAAATATAGATTTTTAACAGAATTTACATATTAAAATGCTCAGTTGTGAACGGATATATATTTAATAGAAGGAGGCCAGTCATTGATTCAACTAAGACATTTGTACATAAAGCAAACAAAACATATTACCTTCTGACGATACAAATAATTAATACACAAACGCACAATAACAATACGATAGCTACAACAATACCAACAACCAAACCTGTAATAGATTTCCATTTCATGCTTATAAGACTTAGTATTGAATTGTGATTGTTGATTATGGTAAATGAAATAAGTTTAATGATATTTTGTTTTACTGGCATTGTTACGAATAACGTGGGTTTATGGTTATTTAATACAGGCAAGTAATACTCTTGACCGCGCTTAAAACATGTGAAAAGATTTAGCCAATTCATTATGATTATTCGTAAGGTTGCTGTCTTATCAATGTATACCTCACATTTCGTATGCAGTGAATTGATTAAGAATCCAAAAGTGAACGAAGTGTATATTTTCAATTCTCAATCAAAATTTGTCTTGACAAGTTTTATTTAGCCTTGAAAGATTTGTGCAGCCATTTGTTTTTTGGTCTTTGCTTGTTTGTTGGGAACATATTTATGTAACGTATCCTTTCAAGGTGTATTAATATATGTTTTCCCTGCTATTTGGTTTTTTATTTGACATAGGCAGGTTTAATGTTTATTATTCGTGATTTAAGATGATGCTGATGAAATTAAAATTTGGAATGCAGTTATTTAAATAAAGAAACATAAATTGTAGCAATTTTTATGCACTAGGTGAATTCTTAAATATCAGCCGACAACGCTTTCCAACAGCCGTTTGAAAGATACTGAAAAAAGCACACAGTTCAGTATTACTCCTTTGTTTATGTCAGAATTCTTTCCTAAACAGGAAATCAATACGATATCACCAGTGATTGACAGAATTAATTTGGAATGCATATTTTGATTAGCACTTGAATAAGGAAAGTAAAGTAAACTAGATGATATAAAAAATTATGTTTTTGTAGCAGTTCATTGTTTCTGTTTTTCCGTTTTTTTTTGGTTTTTTTTTTCTTCTTATAGTTGATGTGTTTCCCTCAGTTTTGGTTTGTGACCCGGATTTGTTTCAGTTAAATCGATTTATGACTATTGAACAGCGGTATACTACTATTGTCTTTATTTACATACTTGCAACATTCAGAATGACGTAGTTTGTCTAAAATAAATATAAATCCATTGTATAGATCAAAATATAATTACCGAATACTGGCGACTGCACTTCATATACATTTTTTTTGTACTCACCTCTGCCTAGGGGAACTTTTGTCTTCTGTGAATTGTCTGATAAGATATTTGGTTCTCTCTCTAAAATCATAAATAGTATCAAAATTTATAATTTGCACACAGATGGTTTTAATCTAGCAATCGCTCTACACTTAATATTCTCTTACTTATTTTGCTTTTAGTTGAAATTTAAGAGAGGCGGAAGATACTAAAAGAAATAACGATATTCAACCTCATACTAGTGAGTCGCAACAAAGTTACTGAAAAGTCCATGACAAAAAAATGATAAACGACGAAAAGAAACACGAGTATCTACAAAACACTGAGCAACACAAACCTAATCGAAAACCGTAGGTGATTACAAGTCGTCCGGAAAAGTATGCAGATCCTGCTTATGTTAGTACAAATGCTGCAATTAGTCTCATATGGTGATGACAAATTCGAGAAACAGGGAGTTTCCGACAAACAGATTTCCATAACGCTCAACAAACTAGTCATGGCAAACGTACACATTTCGAAGGGATGACTTTTAGTTGGAAAAAAAGTATTTACGATATTTGCTATGAAGTCAAATATTTATCTTATTTAATTTATCAGATGTCCAAATCTCCACCATACTGGTTTGTAGCAGTTGAAAACATGCAAATGGAAAGTTATATAGGCGTTGTGTTTCTTTTAACACTCGGTATATATCTAAATACATTTACAAGATTGCAAATGCAGGAATGAGTAATAACGTGATTAATATTGATATTTTGAAACTAAATGTTTATTAATGAGAACTTGAAATTATTTGATATAATTTCTTAAGGTGGGATAGAGTAGTGTGAATACATGATAAAACTGTGTGCACGAAAAAGAAAATGACAACTGATGTGGAACCTTATATGTTTTAGGCGCTTCATAACTCGTTTTCGATATGCTACTATTGCTAATATAATTTCTGATTACAAGGATCAGTTCTGTCTAATGGCATGTATTGTTGTAGAAATGGTAACATACAATTGTTATAATTTCCAAGCTAATGTTGGAAATGCAACTCAGTTTTTAATGTATTAAGTGATTTATATTTATGCCAACGAGACAACTTCCACCAGAGACCCCCGTCATTACAAAATGAAAAATAAAGGTTTATGCAAGATATTGTTTTTGATAAACACTTTTTATCAGCATAGCCCCCCCCCCTCTTTCCCCCATCTAATATGTATAATGTGTACAAATGCAATATTTGATTTTAAGAAAATAAGTATTAATTACAATCAATATGCCTTTGGAAACTGATATAAGGTAAGAATTAGTTATTATTAGCATTGTACGCTATTTTGTTCATTAGGTTTATTTATCATTCTTTGTCTTTTTCCAATATCAACATAGGACCAAGTTTTTTTTTATTGTTTAAACATTACCTTCACACGTATATTCAACCAGAAGCCTTTTTGATTGAAAACATCTTGATTCTTTCTTAACTACTTCAGAAAGATTAATGGTGCATATGTCTGAATTGTCAACATCGTCACATAGAGTTTTGATTAGTCCTTGAACATCTTGGTATTCTAATGAACAGTTGTCAAACTCTTTATCAAAAACTAAATTATTAAGTTGTAGATAATATTTTGAACATTCAGGCAGTGATATAGATGTTGCCGTGTTAAGGCATGACTGTGAATAATTGGTCGAACCTATAAACATAAAACACTTAAATGCAATGGTTTTACACACATCAAAGAGTTAATGATAGTTAAATTAATTTTGATGATAATGACGACGACGATAATGATAGTGACGCTGACGATGACGGCGACGACGACGACGACGACGACGATGACGACGATGATGATGATGATGATGACGATGACGATGATGATGATGACGATGACGATGATGATGATGATGATGATGACGATGACAATGATGACGACGATGACAATGATGACGACGATGACAATGATGACGACGATGATGATGATGATGACGATGATGATGATGATGATGATGATGATGATGATGATGATGATGATGATGATGATGATGATGATGATGACGATGATGATGATGATGATGATGATGATGATGATGATGATGATGATGATGATGATGATGATGATGATGATGATGATGACGATGATGATGATGATGACGATGATGAGATGATGATGATGATGATGATGATGATGATGATGATGATGATGATGATGATGATGATGATGATGATGATGATGATGAGGAGGAGGAGGAGGAGGAGGAGGAGGAGGAGGAGGAGGAGGAGGAGGAGGAGGAGGAGGAGGAGGAGGAGGAGGATTACGACTTTACTGGTATCTTGAGATCTTGAGATCTAAGACTGCGAAAATATTTCGCTAGTGCATTGAAATACCGACACAAAGTATCGATCAACCAATTTGTGTTGGTGACGTAAAACTTATCCATATTGTTTGAAGGTTTGTAATTTCAAAATTTCAAATCCCATAAACTGTGTGATTTTCAAAATTTATAAAAAAAAATTAATGTTTCAGCAATTTTTTGCAGGAATTAAAGATGTTTTTTTTTCAGGATGTTAGACATTGACAATGATTTTAAACCATTTATAGAGGGGAATGTTGCCAAAGGGATACTCATGTTCATAATTCGAAAACAAAATGACATTATCATAGCAAAAAAAAAAAACGAAAAATGATCAAAGGACAAACAACGGTATACAAAACACAACTGAGAAAAATGTACCCGACCAAAAACTTGGGATTATCTCAGGTGCTCCGGAAGAGTAAGCAGATTCTGCTCCACAAGTGGTATCCATCATTTCGCTCAAGAAAGTACAATCCTGTTAAAAAGTCTATTTTGGTAGGTCACATTCGAGGAAAAGATGATGGGATTGCATTAAGGAGCGTGAACTAAATTCTTTAATCATTTCCAAATGGTTCTACTACAAATATACGATATATATATATATATATATATATATATGGCGAAACACGGAAAACATTGCTAATGGTCCCCTCTGGAACCAACAGTCTATGAGCAACGGTATCTACACCGTGCTGAATACAATAATATAGAAAAAAGTATAACAAAAATACTGAACTATAAGTCAAATTTAAAAAAAGGAACTAGAATTTAAACGGGGAATGTGCCAAAGAGGCAACAACCCGACCAATAGTTAATGGTTAATAAACAATAACGTTTACTAGTTTTAGCGGAATGGACACCACATAAAAATCTGAAACATACAAATGAACCAAAATTTGAAATAAAACACACACAAAGTTTAGACTGGCTTAAAATTTTTGACTTGGAACAGGCTCAAAAATGTGGCAGGGCTAAACATGTTTTGTGATATCACAAACCACTGCCTATAACTCTATCCAAAGTGGAACAAACAAACACATAGTAAATTGCACAGTAAAAGTCAGTGTAAAAGAAGCCCAAGTCCTATGTAAGAGTAGGTAACAGCAGAAAATACGCAAAATGACTACAATAAACATAAATTAACAAAGAACTACTAGCAGTTACTGACATGTCAGCTCCAGACTTCAATCAAGCTGATTGAAAGATTACATCTTCAGCATATGCAAGTCAATCACAATCCCTCCCGTAAAAGAGAGGCGAAAGATACCAAAGAGACTTTCAAACTCACAAGTCGAAATCAAACCGACAACGCCATGGCCAAAAGTAAAAGACAGACAGACAGACAAAACACAACACAGAAAACCAAAGACTGAGCAACACGACTCCCAACAAAAACTAGGGGTGATCTCAGGTATTTAGTATAATGCCATCATAAAATATACGAGACGAATATATATATATATATAAGTACGTCTTAACCAGTGACAACTCTACGACAGATTTTATCCATTGGATCACCAGTGAGGGTTATACAAGGCTGAAAACACATTCTGTATAAATGATTCGTCTAAATAACATACCTATCAATGTTAGATCTGTAAATTTGCGGAAGCAAATTTTTGTTTTTCCCTGGCCGGGATTCGATTTTTTTGGAATTTTGGAATCTTGATGATCCTCGCGCTCCTTGACAATTTGACGATGATTTTAAACTATTTTTCTTTATTTTCAAATATCAGATACGCGGTTTTTTTTTTGCGATATGCTTAACTTTTAAAGATACTTTTGATTCTGAAGAGAATGCTGTAATACCGGATAAAACATCTGTATATATATATCACTGAAGATAAATTAATTGTCGAAATCCGGATATGGTGTACAAAAACCTTTGCACCTTTTGTTTGCGGTATACCATCTTTTCCGCAAATTTATTGTTTTCCGTTTAGTATTAAATTCATAATTAAGATCCATTTATTACATCAATGATCCGTTTATTTGGCAATCGCCAATGGCAGTCAGCAGGGTTTAAGAACATTTGTTGTTCGAACTGTTAGTCAAATGTATATAATTATATAAACAAGTCTAAATTGAAAACAACGTTTAAACTTATGATTGCGTTGGGTAAAAACCGCAATTTTTATACGTGTTCATGCAAAACAAATTGTTTGGTAGAGGGGTCTAAATACAGCACAAACAACATGTTCCAAAAGACCTAAAAAGTGAAAAAAATATATTTTAACAAAACGCATTTGACGAGCAGGTCAAACAACGGATGTTCTTAAACCCTGCTGACTGTCATTGGCGATTGCCAAATAAACGGATCACTAGATGTAACAAAATGGATCCTAACTATTAATCTAATACCAAACAGAAAACAATAAACCTGCGGAAAAGATGGTATACCGCAAACAAAAGGTGCAAAAATTAGTTCACCATATCCGGATTTCGACAATTAATGTCTCTTCTATGATGTTAGGAAACGAAGGCCATATAATTTACCTCAATTTTGGATAGACTCTTTAATTTTGAAGAGTCGAAATAGGATGAACGGATCATATAAACCCGAATGCAAATATAATACAAGCCCAAACGAAAAAATATAAACAAGTCTAAATCGAAAACAACGTGTGAATGAAAAACAAATTTATTGGTAGAGGGGTCTAAATACAGCACAAACAACATTTTCCAAAAGACCTAACTACTCTAAATATCAGCACAACAATGTTAAATCTGCAAATTTGCGGAAGCAAATTTTTGTTCTTTCCTCGCCGGGATTCGAACTCATGCAATGGTGATATCGAGACAACACCACCTGCACTGTATCCATCGCTCTAGACCACTCGGTCACCTAGACTGATAGGGTCTTTGCATCTGAAATAACTTTGTTTTATCACTTGTATAATAATGTTTGGTTAGTCTAGGTGGACATGTCAGTAATATATAGCCCGTATCATGCCAACATCTGGTTTTAGAATCAATGTGTTTATTTCCGATGCAAATTAAAGACCCTATCAGTGAATCAATATTAATTCAAAAAAAATATCATCTTTAATAACTTGACAACAATATCGTAACTATATGCTTTGTGGATAAGTCTATATGAAGGTTTTGTTATCTTTTGACGTGAATGATGACATTTTTGTGCTTTGTATAGAATATTACCATAACAGATGGAACATGAAATGCCTGACCGTAAAAGATGTATGCACGTTGATTTTTATTTAAGAATTATATCCTTGTAGCGATTACAAAATTTAGTAAACATTTTGACAAGTTAAGGATATAACAAATCCTGATGTAATATTTTTTTCATTAAAACACAGATTAAACATCAAATAATGGTACCAGGGGAACGTCACCATCTAAAAACGCATTGTGATTCGTAACAGTAAAGAAACAGGTTCGTAATAAGTGGTGCACAGTTAGTTCCTATTCGATACAAAGACCTTGTTGATAAATATTCCGTATCAACTTCACAAATATTCATGATATTTATTGTGTTATTATGTTACGGTCATTTTTTATGTTCTTGTCTTTCATTTTTACTTATGTGATTTGTCCAGAGTTTCTAGATACCATTTTGTATTTCTTTATTTACATGGTTGTTTGCTTAATAGTAATTAAGATTATATATAAAATATAATAACACAATGTTGACTGCTGTACCCCAATTTTTCACATTTTTACCTTTTATGTCTGTTTGTTTTGTTCACACATTGTTGTCATTATTATGGAAAATCATGCAACTGTCTTACAAGTGATAGGTTTGGTTAGCTGTAAAACCAGGTTTAATTCATCATTTTCTACATAATAAGGAAATACCTGCACGGAGTCAGGAATATGACAGTTGAGTTCGCTATTTTTTGTTATTCTACTTTTTAGAGTACTTATAATTTGTTGATATTTGTAATCTTCATAGTGAACAAAGGTGTTATCAAGTAAAAATTCAAGTGCATTTATAATATCAAAGCAGGTCCAATTGACATATTTCCTTTGTTTGTTGTTACTAACAAAATACGTAAAAGAGTTTGAACATGTATATTCACATCCTAACTTTTAAATACTCATTTAATTAGGTATGTGAATTATTTCTAAATGAGATTATGAGGCAAAGTGAAGAATAGGGCAGAAAAATTGTTAACGGATATAAAAGCCAATATGTACATGATGCACATGCAATTCATGAAGTACACCCACTATTTTGACACTCTAAAAGTAATTAATTCCATGATTTTCGTGGACCTCATTCGAAAAATATATATGGCTTTTGATTGTACCAAGAGTAGTAGAAAATAGATTAGATAGTTAAGTAGTTGAAAATGGGTTTAAGACGAAATAAATCTATATGTGTAAGATATTTTGTGCAGCTTTGGAACCAATTATTACATAGTTGGAACTTTCATGTTTTTTGGTTCGATTTGTAAGGAGATGGAAAAAGATATATGTTGTTAACGATGTCATTTCCCGAAAATTCAGTCAATTGTAATGTTGGTGAATTTGTGATTTCCTTTTGCAGAACCTCAATATTAGATTAACATGATTAACGTCAGACAATAATCGCAGCTTAATTATCGAGGCCAAAAACATATTACTTGTCGAGTTTTTTAGGTTATATTTGATACGAGGAATAGAGCTAATATGGTTGGTGTTATGAGTAAATTAAAATGTTCTTTAAAATGACTGAAAAAATCTAAAATTTAACTTACACTTGATACATTTGATTAAACCGAAGCTATTTCCTAGATTCACATTTACTAGGAACGATCAAACCCTAAAATTTGAAATCAAAGGATTTCCAAATATTCTAGGAGCTCTATCATCAAAAGGAACATAAGACGGATATTACACTATAACAAACAGCCCCTGAACGATCAGCAAATTTATAAGACGTGATAGATCTCAACACATTTTTATAATGGGAGCTGCACAAGTCCAGGAAGGGAATAATCTGCTAAGATTTAAAGATACACTTCGTATCAACTACTGAATATTTGAATTATCAGCATACATCCTAAACATCATAGACAAAGCAAAATTAATGTATTTTTGATGTTAGATAAAGTAAGAAATAACTTCGATGTTTTGCTAAATAAATTTTGAATAATATCTACTATTTTAGTTGGAAATCGATAAAAAAAATTCTCCTAGACTTACCTGAACATGAACTTTGAAGTAAAGAAATATCATCTATTGCTATGTCACTCGTAAACTTGTCTCCACGAATCCCTTCAAATATGATACTATAAGGTTTTGAACTAAGAATGTCAAATTTAACAAATTTCCAATTGTCGCCTTGACTTCCTGATTGTGACCAATATTTTGTGCTCCTGTTTCCTGACTTGATGTAAACATTTAATGTACCCATGCCTTTTCCGAACATATGGTACCAGAAGGTAAAACAAAACGTACCATCAAGTTTGACAGTAGTGCTTGTTAACTCTGATTTCGTCCCGATTGGTTTATCTGTACCCTCAAGGTATATGTAATGTCCATTAGCTTGTAGAACATAAAAAATCACAATAAATATGTATTCAATACAAGTTTTACAATGACTCTTTCGTATGAATAATGTAGATTGATTTAAACCAGGAAATCTTTAACTGTAAAACTATTTTAGTATTTTAAAACAGCATGCGATTGTGGTGCCACATTCTCTTATTCCTTTATTCGATTGTGATCCCCTAAAGAATAAGACGTATCATCGTATTTACAATGACAAAGACTTGCTTATCTTATTTGAAGATGGTCTTGTATAAGATTTGTTTGGTTGTTTTTTCTACGTTTATCCTATTTATTTTGTCAAATAACATATGATAAATTTGTATTGTGTCATATTGAAATGACAGTGGCTATTACCCGCCTTATAACCAGTGTTTTGACATAGGCATGATTGAAGCGATATCTTTTAATTGTAAATCTAGTTCATGTATTATGTTATTGTAATAAAACTAATTTGTCTTTCAAATTGTTTTGTTTCGAAGTAACTTGACTTCTGTACGCTGGGAAATCAGTATTTGGGGATTGTTTAGTCCTTAACTGAGTGCTATTTTGCATCTGTGTTTATTCTAAATCCCTTTTCTTTTAGAATTGAAGTACAGATTAAACGTATAATAACAAAAAACAAAGATGTTTGTAATGTTAGTTTGAGTCAATTTTTCTTTATCAGTGAATTGCTAATATCGCTGCTACAGGACGTGTTGGGCCCGGAGCACTCATCTGTTGGTAATAATTATTCCTCATAATAATGTCATTCATGTGCGTAACCTATAAATTAAGATATCGACGAAAGAATTCAGAAGATATTTTATTCGTGTAATAAGGAATTTATTGTCCATCCGTGTCAATGTCAAGACAAAAGATCCAAATATGAAATAAACCTTCCAGATCCGGAAGTATCCTTAATCATTTGTTAATGCCAATGTCACTTGGGTGGTTATACGAGATGCACGTACTTTCTGCAATCTGGGTTATTGAATGACCAGAAATCAACAAAATCAATATACATGATATATCTCAAAACAAAATTAAGAAACGCCTATTATAGCTTTCTTACATTTTACCGAAAGGTATGAACAAACGTAAAGAGAGCATGTATTACATTCCCACGTACAATAAAACTAAGAGTCTATGTTTTATCCGGTATTACCGCATTCTCTTCAGAATCAAAAGTATCTTTAAAAGTTAAGCATATCGCAAAAAAAAAAAAACGCGTATCTTATATTTGAAAATAAAGAAAAATAGTTTAAAATCATCGTTAAATTGTCAAGGAGCGCGAGGATCATCAAGATTTTTCATTCAAAGGTCAAATGTGAATAACTTGGCCCGGTAAAAATTATAAATAAATGATTTTGCACAAGGCAGAATGAAAATGAATATTCTGCAACACAAAAAGCAGGATAGTTGAGGATATGTAGATGTGCAAAAATGAAAAAAATAAGCACGCGAAACAACAGATGAATTTAAATATAATCAATCCTGAAAAAAATCATCGAGAAAAGACATGAACAATCTAGCACCTCATATATTCTAAATTTCAACACTGATGATTTAACAGTTAACATGTAAAAAAGGAATTAAGCAAGTCATTTTGGGAGAGAATATCTTATTTTAAGTGGTAATATATTTCTAAATCGTATGTCCGGAAATACCTTTGTCACATGAAAATTCAAGCTTGACTTGGGTCGTTGCATGCAGTGTCATGGTTCTTGTAAGTCAAACATTGAGACAAAATGCCATCTAAGTCCAATGAAAGCCTTGACTATGATTACATAAATAGGTCATATTATGAAAAGAGTCAAAATGGAGGATCATACGTATGATTCGTCAACCGTACGTACCTTTCGAAAAATTGTAAGAATGCTCTTATTTTCATCAATTAAGATAATTCAACCGTAAATGATGATGATTCTCAGTTTCTCTACTCCATAAAAGACTGAAATTTTCAAGAGACATAAACGTTTTACAAGCAATTTTGAAACGTATGAAAAACAAAAGTGCGACAATTTGGTTAAAACTTCCATTGTATAAATTGTATAATCACTTTTTGCGGACAATGTAGGTTGTTGTTTGTTTCTTGATAATGTTAACACTTACACGATCCAGTGGTGTGATCATGTTGTGGGCCAGTACCGGGTGATGTGGTTCCCCCTGTAGCAGTTGACCACATATATGACGTTGTGGGATTCGAATACCAGTTGCGTTGTTCTGTTTCAAAGTTACAGTCCAGGGCAAAACCTACAACATCACTGATGAATTGAATCAATTCTTTGAAATGCAACTGTTGGAGTAAATTAACAGAGCATATGATGTACATATAAAAAAAAATGTCAATCTTGTTGAATCGCTACCATTGATGAGTGATGACTATGATATTTCATTCCATTTAGTCTGATATTCGATATCCATTTTTCATATATATAGTAGTTATCATGCACTAGAATCGATTAAATGAAAAGAAAAATAGTATTAGAAGATAACAATGTCGAAATCATTTTCAATCTTTAATCTTTACTAACATTTGCGACTACAATATTGAAATACATTTTATGGGTAAGCCATTTTGATAGGGACAAATTCTAACAGTGTTTGATAATTCTGATACGCTCCAGATTAAGTCAAGATACGTAACACATCATTTTCATTGTAATTTTGGAAATAACATAATAAAATCTATCGAGGTCTAGTGAAAAATATAGCGTCGTGCACGAAGTCTTTCAAACGTTCAAATGATAAATGTTTTTGCAGAGTCAATGCTGAAACAAAACTTGTCTTACTATTATACTACCTATCAATTTGAATTTAACAAGTATACATTTAAGAAAGAGTACAGTCATGAAGTTTACCGATGTTCAAATCTCATAAATCGATAAAAAAAGATGCAAATCAAAGTAACACATATTGAGGGACTCGCATCAACTCCGAAAGAAGCAACACCGGTGCGTTCACATTCAAGCCTATCTTACTATGCGCGACCCTATTCAAAGAATACAGATGAGAAGCAGATTACTACTTGTACGACACTAATTATGTCATATCTTGAATTCATATCTATTTCTTTACATAATTACATTTACTTTCACCGGAAAACTCGTTTAAAACAAAGGAGTGTATTTGACTCAGTATTACATTTCCAAATGCCCAACTATATAACAGGATTATATGGGCTATATCATGCACATTAGCAGATGCCAATATATATATTGTAAAGTAAACACATAAAACATTTAAACATATTCATACAAGATAACTTAAGGACCATTGAATTTACCCCTTTCATTGCAAGATCTTGAAAGCAATGAAATATCATCTACTGCTATGTCACTTTTAGAAGTTTGACCTCGAATTCCTTCAAATGTTATCATGTATGGTTCTGATACAGTAATATCTAGGTAACCAAATCGCCATACGTTTTGTTGATTTCCTGAATTTTCCCACAGTTTTCTCGTGGTATTTTCCATTACCAAGTAAACACTCAATGTTCCCATTCCGCCTCCATACATATGGTACCAAAATGTAAAACAAGCATCACTATGAAGAAGAACTGTCATACTAAATAAATAAGATTTTTCCCCTTTTTTTCGGCCTGATCCTTCGAGGTATACATAATGTCCTCCAACTTTAAAGAAAATAGATATTGATACAAAATAGCATGCGCTTATTGATCATACAAATTAAATGTGTTTGTACAAATGTACCACTCTGTGATCAGTACATAATTTCGGTAAATTTATCGATTTCCATGAAAAAAACATAGTCTAAAAATTAAACATAATTATGCGTACATAATATTACCAGTTAAAGAAGTAATGAAAGGTGTCGGGGACGGACTGTTTTCTATTGAAAACAATACTCCGTAAAAAATGAATATAGCGGAGCTTGTTTTTCGATTTCATGTTCAGGTTTTGCAAATAATCTAATTTTCTGAGATAAGTATTGATTGTAGAAAGAAAACTATAAGCATTTTTTGTATATTACAATGTACTATACTATTAGAGTTTTGCTCATTGTTGAAGGATATACAGGGACGCGTAGTTATTTACATTCTTGCCCTGTTGTTCTGACAGGCTTCTTTGAAATCCAATTATTCTGTATAAAAGCTTATGTCAACATTTATTTGTCTAGAAATATATTTTTTTTCCGTATCTTTTATAAAGACTATTGGTCTCAGTGATAACTATTTGAACGCAGCTTTATTATTTTTCCAATAAATTATTCTTCCAAGTATTTCTAAAACCCAATGTTCTGTAAATAGTCGTCTTTAGGGTATGCAGGTCCATAGTTTGAAAGCGTCTAACTTAATGTTTCTGTGGCTCTTTTCATAAGTAATCTTCAGAGTAAAATACTCGTAAGTCATATACATTTCAGTATAACTTCAATTAAAATCGTAAGATATTTTAGAAAGGGGTTTCTGATTTCAGACAAGTCACAGAGAAAGAACAAATAATAGTAATAACAAGAATTGCAAATGTCGCCTCGTTCCTGACGTTTCCATGATAATAGCAGCCTGTTTGAAGTAAATAAATACAAATGCACAAAAACGTATTAGAGGTCACATTTCTGTAGTTTAAATCATTTAAAAAAAGGACTTCATTTTTTTTTAATGTTGTTTACACATTCACACATCACAGTCATCATTTCTGTAAGACCAATAAGGTTTTGTCTATCATTCTCATTTTTCAAGGTAGCGATGGCCATTTTTGAATTTTTGCAATTTTATAACTTGAAAAATTTAATAAAAAAGGGGAAGTAAATAACATAGGACAAATTCAACGCTCGACTATATCTGCCAGCGGATCGAAGGGAAAACAACTGTCTTATTCTTGCTATTCTTACTACAGGCATTTTCAAAAGAAAATGGTGGGTTAAACCAAGATTCTGGAATTCATCTCAAAACAGATATTTAAGCTGAATCCAAATAGAATAAGTTGACAGTGAAGGCAACACATTAAACTCAACTTCTAGCCATCTGACGAGAACTGTAACTGTTTTGTACTATACATATTTGGTATGTGCACAGTTTTGATTATAGAAAAGTACCGCATAACAATGATATATCTTAGATTAAAACTAATATCTAAAATACAAGTTCATCAAACTATCTAAGAATAAATCGGATGCTATTTTAGATAACCAAAAATATGTTGTCTTCCGTCTACCATCTATCATTTTGCGACTTGTTGTCAATATGAAGGACTTTTCAATGTACAAAGACTTCCATAATTTGAAAATCGATACAGTTACATAAAAAGCACTATGGAATACTAACATGATCCACTTGTATGATCAGCACTCGGTCCTGTTTTTTCAGAAGGAGTTTTACCATCGATAATTGTCCAAGCATAATAAGACTGTCTATTAATATTCCAATGGCAGTTTTCTGCTTCAAAGTTACAATCCAGTACAGAACCTGAAGTGAAAATAAATGTATGAAAGAAAAATGGAATTAGAATAAAAACTACCTGAAATAAAATGGAATAGATATAATACTAGTATAACAAATTGTTCTTTTATCAATTCTGGCTGAGTAGGATAAGATAAATACTAGTATATAAAAAGTAATAAATGAATCACTTTTTTTTTATTTTTTTAGTAGATTGTAAAGATTGACATACAAATTCCTTTTAAATATAATTTTCCTGACCTTAATTCAACTTTGGTTTATTTGGATGACTTTTGTGCTGTTTATTGTAAAGTTTTCATTGTAATGTTTTTATAATCAGTTGGTTTGTCTTTTCATCGTTCCTTCTCATGTTGTCTTACGTCGAATAAAGTTTTTATTGACGCTCTTAAACATGTTAAAGATACAATCGTCCTCTATCATTTTTGAAACGCTGATTATAATCCTTGATTGAATAGTTTATATGGTTGCTTTTTCCCGGAAGGACGTTACTGTGATGGTTATTTTTTAAAGAAACATACCACTTGTGATATGTACTAACTTAACGCACTAGACGTTAAGCAAAAAAACAATCAATCAATCGTTTAATCGTTCAATCCACCATTTTCTACATACGAAAATGCCTGTACCAAGTCAGGAATATGACAGTTGTTATCCATTCGTTTGATGTGTTTGAGCTTTTGATTTTGCCATTTGATTAGGACTTATATCTAGAAATTGACTATGAGGGTCGGTTGAAAACAAAACTTTACGACAAAAAAGATGATTTCGGCTTCCCAATTGTGACCTTTTCATTTTTAAACCAAGAATTCTAAATTGGGAAGTTGAAATCATCACTTCGTAAATTTTACGGACGCCATCACGAGTTGGTTGACCGTTATGGAATATCCGTTTCACAGATGATATCGGATATGTTCCTTATTTCGTAACTACAATCCCGTTCCCTTTTCACGAATGTGACCTACCGAATAAGACTAATTATCGGATTTGTAATAACATGAGCAACACGACGGGTGCCACGTGTGGAGCAGGATCTGCTTACCCTTCCGGAGCACCTGAGATCACCCCCAGTTTTGGGTGGGGTTCGTGTTGCTGTTGTACCCCTATTTGTGACATTTTTACCTGTTGTTGTCTGTTTGTTTTGTTCACACATCGTTGTCAATATAATTGAATTTGATGCGACTGTCATACAAGTGAGAGCTTTAGCTAGCTTTAAAACTAGGTTTAATCCACCATTTTCTACATAAGAAAATGCCTGTACCAAGTCAGGAATATGACAGTTGTTATCCATTCGTTTGATGTGTTTGAGCTTTTTATTTTGTCATTTGATTAGGGACTTTCCTTTTTGAATATTTCCACGGAGTTCAGTATTTTTGTGATTTTACTTTTTAATCATAGACCTGAAGACGATGACAATATTTCTATCTTTTATAACAAAGAAGGCGGATGGATAAAAACACGCGGAGAGATTATTATTATTATTTACAATATTCATAGCGCATTATCTAATCAAAATTACTCTAAGCGCTTAACATAAAGACAATCAATGCAGTTAGAAGAGGTGTTACACATAAAAACACGCAATACAATAAGATTGAGTTAAAATTTTGAACAATTATAAAAAAGGAAACAGAACAATTAAAAAAAATAATCAAAAAACATATATTAAAATGGAAAGAACAAAGATAAGTTAGAGTAACTGTCAGTATATGGAGTTAAATGTCATCACTGAAAGCGAGTCTAAAAAAAATGCATTTTCACATTTTTCTTAAAAAGTTTGATGGAGTGTTCATGTCTTCGATGGCAAGGAAGATTGTTCCAGAGACTCGCAGTAGCTTATTCGAAGAGTTTTTCTCCATAATTTTGGTGCGTACACTTGGTTGTATTAGTCGCATTACATTTTCCGATCTTAGAGATCTTGATGGTTGATAGGCGCTAATAAGTTCCTCAAGATATACAGGTGCTAGGCCATGTATAATTTTAAAGTATATAAAAGCAGTTTATATTGCATTCGGTACTGCACCTGGATCCAATGAAGCGACACAAGAACTGGTGTAATATGATTGTGTTTCTTGGTACGTGTAACGAGTCTAGCTGTCGTATTCTGTACTCGCTGTAACTTATTTTCTAAACTGGCATTCACTTCATATAGCAGGGTGTTTCCGTAGTCTAGCCTTGATGTGACAAGCGAACAGACTAACATTTTACAGGCATCCTCGGTGATATATTGCCGAATTCGACCAAGGTTTGGAATTTGGAAGTAGCACGACTTCATGACGGCATTGACTTGCTTTTCCATGCTCAATGTCCTATCAAAAAAATTAAATATGTTGTCACAGTTATCGAGTGGTTTGATAACTAGGTAGACTTGTGTGTCATCAGCATACCCCAATAGCTAAAGTTGTGTCGCCGACATATTCACTGATCGGTTTTTCAGAGATCCAATACATAATGCCAAATAGCTTCATAGATATTGTATATTAACAGATGACGCCTTTTAAATTCTAATTGTCATAACCACAGTCTTGTCTTCGTTTCTCCGAATTAGACATTAAATAAACTCCGGTTTTTGGTGAGGTTAGTGTTGCTCAGTTTCTAGTTTTCAATGTTGTGTTTTGTAGACTTCGTCTGATGAGTTTTAGTATCGCTGCGGTATTTTTTTTTTTTGCCTCTTTTGCAGTTAATATATCTTATAGCTTAATATACAATTATACATGATCATGTACGGTATTATCTGTGTATTAACATATTATCCAAAACGTTATGCTGTGGTGACCATTATCTTATATTGAGACTCGTCCTAAACATGCATGAAATAATTGCCACTGGACGTTAAACAACCAACAATCAATCTTATATTGAGACACAATTACCTCGACGTCCTTAATCTTATGAATTATGAGTAAAAATATTATTCATGTGTGACCAAGTTCGCAGGTGAAGATAAGTATTACCAAAATAAATATTTCGAATGATCAGAAAAGAAAGAGTGGTTATAACACATGCAGGGAAGATTTTTTTATTCAGTTCAATGGCATTCATACGGAAAAGAAGGATTTATAAGGAATAAGGAGGGGATTCAAGCAGTTTTTGTATATTATTCTATACACTAATTTATTGTAAAATGTAAGTACAATACCTCCACAAGATCCAGGAAGGAGAACAATGTCATCCAAAGCTATGTCACTTTTTGAAGTATTTCCTCGTATACCTTCGAAAATAACTCTATATGGTTTGGATCTTGAAATGTCGAAAGAAGTAAACCACCATCTTTTATTGCGATTTCCAGATATAGACCAAGCAGTTGTTATGATCTCTTCTGACTCCAGGTAAACATTCAACGTTCCCATGCCCTCTCCATATAAATAGTACCAAAATGTAAAACAAGCATCACCATTAGGATAAACAGTAGCACTGGTTAAATTTGATTTTGTCCCTATGTCTTTTGATGACGCTTCAAGGTATATGTAATGACCAGCTACTGTTGGTCATTAAAACGAAATTGTAATGTTTTAAATAGAAAGAAAGAAATCATGCTGATAAGTTAACAATTAACAGTTCATGGCGAATGTTTCCTTTTGAGTGAGTTTTAATTATAAATAGGTGTAGTAAATATTATATGTTTCTGTTATACAGTACACGCATTATGTTTATATACCAAAGCACACAAATGCGTACGACGTGTAGGTATCGCGTTGCCTGGAACTGAGGGTGCTGCACAAACAGACAAATCTATGTTGGTCTTGATTTGTGTAACGAACTGATAAAGCTCCCAGAATGCCTTATATTATAAAAAGGTATTCGTATTTACCAGCACTGGTACGATACCGTTTCTGGTGGACTATTAGTTCCGGGGGATATCATGGGACCGGTGGTTAGTCTTTATTTTGCCTTGCCACCGACATGTTTTTCAACATACATTTATTAAATGTTCCGTCGATAAATTTGGAAATTATTTAGAAACTGATATTCCAAATTCATCGGGCAAAGTTGACCTTAGACGGTTTTTCGTGAAATTTTGCATGACGTTTATTTTTTAACGTTCCTGGTGTGTGTAAATCCAGAAGACCAATTTATAAAATATCCTTCGTATTTATCATTTAAGAAATGATAGTAATTACGACAAAAGTGGTATTATATCGGCAAACAATTATATATATACAATCATGATGTGACAACCAGAAAGTTTTATTTTTTATTACGAATCACCGGAATTTTTAAAGCGACTGACTGTTCTAAAATAAATCGGCGGCAAATAAATATGTCATCCATCTTTGAATTAAAATATATTGTTTTCGTTCAAAGCAAATAAGGGTGAATTTAAAACAAACAAAAAATAAAATTCAAATTTTGTTTATGGTTTCCACGGCTCAAGAACGTTTAGAGTTAAGACGGTATAAAAACTGCAATGGAATTTGTACATCCTTTTAACAACAAACTTACAAGAACCCAGAGTGTGATCAACTTCAGGTCCAGTATCATTAGAGGGTGTACTGCCAGACAAAACTATCCATTCATATATATTGCTATTATTTTTTGACCATTTACAAATGTCTGCTTCAAAATTACAATCTATTTGAAGATGAAAAGCTGAAAAGACATACAGTTTATTATAAACAGTTAAAAGGCCATACGTCTCGTATTCTGTTTGTGACGTCTTAACATATAATTGATACTGAAAAGTCTCTTGTTTTTATGTTAGTATATTTTTGTGCTGATACACCACTGTCTCATGTTAGAGTTACGATGTAGCGCTCACAAACATGTTTAACTCGCCACATTATGTATAAGCCTGTCCCAAATCAGTGGTTGTCTTTGGTTGCTGTCTGTTATATTAGTTTTACGTTTATTACTCTGTAAAAATCAGATCGCTAGTTTTTTTCGTTTGAATTGTTTCACATTTTGTCATGTCAGAGCCTTTTATAGCCGACTATATGATATTGGTTTTGCTCATTGTTGACAGCCGTACGGTTTTGTACGGATACGGTATACGATTTTGTCTTATTTCAAAATTAAAAGATACGTCTCATTCAGGTTATCGTGTAAAGAATTATTAAATTATTGAACTTTATGTTTACTATCTTAAATATAATGAATAAGTTTCGTTCTGCTCTGGAATGTACACGTTTGCTTTGTTAAAAAAAAGTGTTAACAAGAGAGAGATTTCGATCAAGTTATGAATAAATGTGTTATATACATGTAACATGAACCAGCTCTAACCAGCATGGGTTTACAGAACATGTTAAAGAATTTTATAGATGCAACCAAAGAAAGACACCGACTTGGGAGTGAGGCAAAAATGCTTACACATAGTTTTAGGTGGGGTTCGAGTTGATAAGTCTTTAGTTTTCTTTGTAGTATTTTGTGAACTTGTTCTTTTCGTCGTCTTTCATATTTTTTTTTTGCCGTGGCAGCGTACGTCTTTCGAGGTTGTGAGTTTAGTATGCACCTTAATATTAATTCCACTCCATCTTGGGGACATGCACATGAGCTCCATTGTGGATTTAAATGTTTTTAGTGCCGATTTTTTTTCAAAATAAAAGCAGTTACCTAACATTAAAAGTATGTCTTTATTTCTTGTATTTCATGTACTTACCATTGCAGTCTTTATTGGTAATATCAATATCATCAATAGCAATGTCACTTGTGCGCCACTTGCCTCTAATTGCTTTAAACTTAATCTGATACGGTCCTATATCTCTGAGTGTCAGTGACTGGAAATACCATTTGTTTCCTTGACTATTTGATACATTCCATAGTTCAATATTATAATTACTATTCATTTGGTATACCACCAGTTTTTTTAAACTTCTCCCGTACATGTGATACCAAAATGACAGACACTGTTTCGTGCTCGGTACTATAAACTCACTTATCAAATCACTTTCGTCATTTAGTCTAACATCACCTTTTGATTCTGTATAAACATAGTGACCATACGCTACAATAAACGTGCGTAAAAATTCAATATCTCAATAAAGACAAAGATATGTAGCAACACATTGCTTATTAATGCCTTATGAAGTCTTTAATCGAGAGCATATGATAGTAACAAGCTTATGGTTGTTGGTGTTAAATTCCACTGTCTGCACTATTGGCTAAATCGTGGTGGTCACTTTTTCATTGTTTGATCACTGATCTCAATCCTAGTCAATGAAGGAGTTGAACGCACCTGCCACTTGTGAGGTTTGAACTCACAACCTCGTTGTTCACAGGCTAGTGATACACCTGATTAACTCACTTAGAGCACTTAGAGCACTTGCCATCCGTGGCCCAATCAAATCAATAAACTGCTTAAACAGTACTGTTTTTTTAGCCAGAAAAAATGCTGAAAAGCTTTCCTATCCTTTATTTGTGAAAGCCGCATGCACATGCTACTTAACACTGACTTAAACTCAATGAATAATTGCTTCACAATATTCAATAAAAAAATAATACATGACTTTGAACATCAATTTGTGTTGTACATTATCATATAAACAGACAAATCGGCACATGTGACTAGATTAAAAAACGCAGTAAAAGCGCGGATATAAGTTGTTTTACCGGCCAAGGTTTTTTTTAATGATTTCAACGTCATAAATGTACAAAAAAATGTGTAAACAGCGGTAATTATTTTCCTCATTTTTCAATGTATCAACAATTGACAAATAACTGTATTTGATCTTATCTTAGACTAGTATCTGTTTTTCGATACTAGTAAGCACATAACAGAGGTCTATATTTTAATTAGATTGATAACATAGAGTAAAAAATTGGCATTTTAGAGTAAAGTACGTGATATTGAATATTTGTGTGATGGTGCTATTTTCAACAAGGATTTAATTAAGAATATCGAAAATGTATCTTTTGAAAAATTTAAGGAAGAATGGTTTAACAAAATTATGTCAAATGATAAAAATAAGTTACGTAAATATAGAATGTTGAAAAGTATATACATGTTTGGTGTAGAAAAGTTATTTGATTTTGAATTTACCTGCTTTAGCAAAATTTAGATGTGGAGTAGCGCCCATCAGAATTGAAACTGATCGGAAAATATTGATATTAAAAATAGAGTATGTTTAAACTGTACTGATGGCGTTCAAGATGAAAAGCATGTTTTGTTATGCAGTCCTGTATGTTCAGATATTTGTTATGTTATTTTTAATTGTGCTAGTATTGTTGATGAGATTTTTTTTAAACATATGTCTGATAATGGAACATTGATAGTTCTTTTTACAAATGAAAACTTGGTATTTTATGCTGCCAAAATCTCCAATGAAATTTTATTAAAGCGAAAATGTATTTTATACTCATGACAGTTAACATGTATTTGTTTTATATTTGAAGAAACATTGTTTTATAGTCACTCATAACGCTTTGTAGAGTGGTTCTTGTTGTTTAATTGTGTTTTAATATGCTGTATATTCTATATGTAACAAGTGGTGAGACTTTAATAAAGTATTTGTCTTGTCTTGTCTTGTCTTGTCTCGTCTTGTATACTAGTATCAAAGACATAAAATCTTTGTAAATAGAATATATAAACTAACATATCAAATTATTACTAAAAAAGGAATATTTTATATGGTCTTGTCCTTGAAATAGATACAGTAAGATGATGGCTCCTGACGTAAAAAAAAACACACGCACACACTGTGGTACTATATTCAGCACAGTGCCAAATACAAGCAGTTAAGATTTTCTTTTCCTTCATTTTGCTTAAGCATACTTTGCTTTAAATCAAATACAAAATTATATCTGAATAAAATTTGTGAATTTCATCGTTAAACATCGATAAACGAATTTGTGCTTTTTATTCTTTTCTCTGTGTTATGTTTTATTAATTATTATAGTTGTTCTCGGTATAAAAATAGAGAGATGTGATAAGCTTTCCAACTTTCCCCCATAGGTAAAAAGAGGAGGATGTTAACAACTATAGGTCACTGTACAGCCTTCAACAATGAGCAAAATAAATACAGTACGGTAAGCTATATATGACCCCGGCATGACAAAAAAAAACACCTTAAGCTATGCTAAAACACTTGAAATATGACTTAGTCTAAGAGTAACAAACGACAACTACTGACTTAATTCCTTAATCTTTATTTTAAGTGAAAAATTCTGTTCTACGCTGTAGCCTAAATACATGTGTACTTACAAGTTGAAGTTGTGCGGTCTCTATTTGGTCCTGTATTTGATGTAGTAATTTTTCCGTTACCGATTTGCCACATGTACCTATCCTGACCTTTAACGGTCCAACCACACATCCCGCTTTCAAAATTACAACTGCAGCCTACATTTTCTATTAAAAAATAATAATATAAATTAATTTAAAAGAGTAATTGCATTTATCTTTTTTCAAAGTGCGCTTGTTTTTTTTTTTCGGTCTTATGTCTTCTGACATTAATAGCACATATCTTCCTCAATATACATTGTATATGATACTATTTACATCGGAAGGCATTAACAAAAATGTGTGTGTTTGTAATATTAACTAATTAGCATAGTGGCATTGTTCCGGATCATATGATTATTTGGACCATACGCGTATATACTAAGTACTCGTATGGTCCGACCATTGTTACGCGTATGGTCCGGGTAATTAACTGATGATTTTTAACGTTGAAAATGTGTCGCATAATCATATGGATTGTATGAATTCCTTAAAATGAAGTTTTGGCGTATTCAATCATATGGAAATCAAAGTTACATGATTAATCAAACAAAGTGAATTTTACATAAAAGTAAGAATTATTGTGTTTATTAGATTAAAATTTCTTGAAAATATCAAATTGTTTTTAGATATTTGATGTGTTCTAGGTCCTACTGATACGACCTAGCTCACAATAACATTACGATTGTATATATTAAGTTGCAAGAAGATACGATCATTTCAGTGAAAATCAGTAGAAATTAAAAGAAATTTGTTTCTGGAATAATAATTTAAACACAAAAAGAAGAACAAAAAACGGTACATGTCTCAAACGCCTGTCGTTTCACTGACGGACGAAAAATTCGAAAGCCAGGAGAAAGGCGCCTTTAATTGACGCTAGCGAAGATAAAATAACAAATACACAAAAATTCAGGCAATATATGAATTCAATTAGTAACTTTGTTTCGGAGAATGAGCTGTGTGTTCCTGCGAAAGCTATAATTTATTAGAAAAATACCTACATGGTCTAAATACTCATATGGTCCGGCCCGTTAATAACCAAACGAGTATAATACTTACATATACGAGTATGGTCGTAACATATGGGTATACGCATATAGTCATGACCATAAGCGTAGGGTCCAGATACTCATATGGTCAGGAACAGCATCACAAATAACGTTATCACAACTTTAATAAATTGTACTTTTCGTTCATCAATGAAATTAACATAATTTTGAAAGAACTGGAATATTTTACTATTTTTCAATTTTATGGAATAAATAATTATCGTTCTTTCTTCTTGTCCTAATTGTCATTCGACATGGATGTCCACAACTGCACTTATGACACTTCGTTTCTGTCAAACCAAACAAAAAAAGCTAGGGAATCTAAACCGATACTTATAATTTGAAACACTCCTACTGTTGTTTCAAAATACAAAAGGGTGACTTTTTTGTAGTTAGTTTTTTCAACAGAAAGAATATGTTACAAAAAAAATCTTCGAATGAAACTTCTTATCATATCTATCTCGGACAAGCCTCGGTAGAAACTAGAAGTGTCATTCCTGATCATGAGTCTCTTACATGATTTGATTACAAATCACTAACTTCTTCTAGTGCTACATGTATATTCCTAATATCTTCAAACGAGTTACTGTCAATTAAATCAATAAATCAATTATATCTTTTCATTTCTTTCAAAAAATGAAAAGCAAAACAAACAAAAAGTCTGCAATTGTGCAAAAAAAAAATGAATGATATGTACCGAAAATACCGAACTCCATGTAAAATTTAAAGAGAGGAAGTCAGCTTAAAAACTGACAAAACCAGACGATCGACTATATCAACAAACGGAACGACCGGAAAACTATATTGATATATTTATGAATTGGTACAGGCATTTTCCGAATAAATTGGTAAGTTGTATATACCTATAAAACCTCTCGCTTGTAAGACAGTTGTAAATAGTTTCATTATATTTGACAAAATTGTATGAACAACTCTAACAGACACAATTAATGTGTTTACTTTTAAAATAATTGGGTTTCAGTAGGCAAATTGTGTAAACATAGATCGTAGAAATAAACCAAACAAATATAAAATTAAGCTATCTTACAAAGATGCAAAACAAATGTCAAATTCAATTAAGTAAAATATCACATAAATAACACATGGCTGAGAGAGAGCAGATTTTTGACCCGAGAAAACATTGTCGCCAGATGCAAGTGTTTTTAATTTATTATAAGAATTCGTTGTGTGTCTAAATTTTTGTGAAAAAGTGTAAAAAATAAAAGTAGAATAATCGGTAACAAAAAGAACTTGAAGGATATTTGGGCCTCATATTTTGAAGACCCGTGTAGTTGACATATATATTGATCAAAGGCAAGTTGCGTCAGTTAATTCAATAACATATAACTAGTACGCTGTATAAGTAAGGAATTCTTTTTTTTTCATTTTAAATTCTTCTTGAACAATTTATATATACTACCTTTGCAAGAATACGAGATATTCAGGTGTCCGTAATAATTCATTAAACAGCTATTTGGAACGAGCGAAGTGAAGGAACATGACATCTCATCATTACAATTCTTTTTATGGATACTCATCTCTTCATCTGTCAGACTACACTGCTCATAAGCCGAACATGGTGTTGTGGTTTGTTTTACTGTCATATTGACTATGGAAATAGTTTTGTTGTCAGAACAGCTGATCGTACTTGAGTCGCTTTCAATGATACTTGCTTTAAACCCTAAGGAAATATGAAGATTTTTTTAAATGGTTGTCATGCATTCTGCAGGTTTACGATGATATGAACAGAAAATAAATCAATTAGGAAATGCATTGAACTAATGCAATAAAATAATAAAACAATGTAAAAACTACATGCTAAAAACGTCATTATGTTCAAATAATGTTTTCGATTTTGATAGTCCTATCGATTGGCAATACATAAAAAGCCTAAACTATATTACCATTTGCGTAAATAATAATTTTGAAGGTATTAATATGTTTCCTCATGTACCTTGTTCACACCGGAATTGAATTGAATATTCCAGGTTAAATGCTTTTTTATAAATCCGGAGTCAAACCACCGGTAGGTAATTATTTGAAATCTCATTTCAACTAACATCGAATTTGACGCTTAAATGAATAAACGATAGAACGCAAACGTTTATTTCAATCCAGAATAATTATATTTTTTTTATAAGTAAAACGTGTGAGCATCTCATCTGTTCAGTGTACCACCATATGAAATTGAATGGACTTGTTTACCATCAATAAATCGAATATCGTACGTAAACGAATCAAAAACGTCATGTTTTATAATTCATTTATCAAGTATAATTTCTAAATAATAGTAAAATAACGAGTTCCAATTTGTTAGCCGGCATGACGTAAAAGACGACTAATCAAAGAATCCCACTTTATATATAACTAATATAGGACACACAAAGGTATTGATTTAAAATTACACCATTCCAGGCCCTATTGTTTTCTACATAATTAATATTACCAAAAATATACAAGTTCCGGGTCGAATCCGATACCGGTACCAACAGTATATATCACATAGTTTCCGGTTGTATGTATATATGTATGTATGATTTGTATCTTCCTCCTTAAATAGGAGCATCACCATAGGTTATGGTGCAAAGGAGGACATTTAACACACTGTATCGGTACAGATTTAATGTGAGCATTTGCCTACCCAGTTTTTAAGCCTGGCTGTGACGGGTCACGGCTTCTTACCAGGAATTTAAGTTAACATTCCCCCAAAACAGTTTATTATGTAGTAAGAAAACCAGGACGGGTTCAAACAGAAAGATTTTGAAATCAGAGAAAACTATGCACTTTTAAATCAGCATGACTTTATCAGATGACAATGCGAATACTAAAACAAACAGGCAAAAAGAAAGCATTATGGGTACTTTAATTCAGTCACGGATCCGCGATTGTATAGTTACATGTTTCTGCTGCAACCATGTAATTAAGAGTTCTATCAAGCTTTTTGATTGTTTAAATGGAATATTTTAACATTGTCAAGGATATAGTACGCGCAGGAATATATGTTGTATTGTATACGGAAATACAATATGATATTGAAGTGCTCGCGATTGTTCTCATTCAATCAATGATAATGTAATTATTCTAAATCAATTATAAAGACAAATATGTATTAGAAAATACGTACTGGGTAGAAAAATCATGACAAAAGTACAAACACAGCATATATCTTGGTTTCCTCAATAATTTTGGTCAATCCTTTGCCTCTTTTATTTTTTAACTTTACATGTATACTTTACATATTCATCAAATATCTCCGACATTTAGCACTCATTAGCATACTTTCAAGGAAATATTAAATAAGATTTGAATGCTTCTTTTCATAATATTATTAATGTTTGATAAATAAATGACTCCCTGTATTTTAATCTAAAGTTAATGGATAACCCCTTTAAACCACAGTTGTCAAATGTGTATGTCGTATCAAATAGTTCCAACCTTTTGTCTTCATATTAACAAAATATAAAATAAGTAAAATAAGAAAATTACAAACTCCAATATTTCCCTCATTATAATCAACTAGGAAGAGACAAGAAGTTAGTTTAAACATTCGTCAAGGATGTGGTCATACATCACAGGGAAAATGTTATTTTGAAACGGGCAATTTAAACTACTATTATAATATATAATTTTACACATACACATTCATTAGTATGATTTGTATCTTGTCCGCTTATTAATATCAGTACACAATTGGATTGATCAGCGACAACTCCAGATGAAGCTGACATGAAAAGGCTTTACTCGACTGACGAAAGCTATATTTTTAAGTAGACATCTATGCCCAGTGGTCTAAGTAATGTACTCGAGAACCATGTCAAAGTTATGATGAATAATATCAATGCGTTGCTTTTTTAAGTAAAATGTAATATCTCTTCAAACACATTTGACTCTGTCAATTTTTTTAGTATTGTGTTTATTTATTTGTGTGTGTTTTTTTTTACCAGCACATGTAAAAAGTGTCTACTACTTGCTGGATAGTATATACAGGCATCATTCTCAGATGTCTAGTTCAAGTGAAGCGATGATAATAATACTAACGTGTCAATTGCAGCACACAGGTTTATCGGGAGATTTCATTTACGTTATTTTCTCATACAAAAGTTCATCTCTAGGGGCATTTATGTAAAGTGTGAAGGTAAAATATAAAAATAAGAAGATTTGGTATGATTGCCATTACGACAATTCTCCAACACAGACCAAATGACGTAAAAAAATATACGGCAGTCTGAAAAAACATCATGTGCTACATTTATCAAACTGGAGGTTAAGGATATTTTATTACACTATTTTCTCTAACAGGGCTACAATTTATCAAGCGATGTGGATGCTTGACAATTTTTGACTATCCTATGTTTTGGTTAATTTGTATCAACGGTTGCTGTCCCGGTGTCGTTTCTTGCACTTGTCCTTTTATCTATTTGTTTTCTGGTACAGCAATATATTAATATAAAAATAAGGAGAAGTGGTACGATTGCCTATGAAACAACTTTCACCAGAGAGACAACTATTATAGGTCACCGTACGGTCTTCAACAATGTACAAACATATACCGTATATTTACCTACAATACGACCTATACATGACAAAATCAACGTCCTGATTTATGATAAAACAATAAACGAAACATAAATACGACAGACAACAACCAACGGTCACCCCAAATTAAAAGGCTCCTGAATAGGGACAGACACATACAGAATGTGATGTGAGGTGATGTGATTATACATTTCTGCGTGCGATCATAGTATATCCCCATCCCCCATAATCTGAGACAATGTTGTAATAGCACAATATAAGAACAAGTTTAAAAATCACTTGGGAAGAGCTAAACATGATGCACCGGATTGACAATAAGCAACCTCCAAACCCCAAAAAAACCACAGAATTAAATAATCCAAAACACGAACATTACCGATCTAGGTGTACGCACTGTTACTAAAAACTAGTTCAAAGCCTATTAAAACTAGTAAATACAGAGTATGATCCCAGACAAAAATATCTTTTATTACACATCAATCATGCCTGTTTATATTGATGTCGCTCTATACTATTTGTTAAAAAGCCGACGGATACAACTAGGCGCCGCTGTATACAAGGTGGGCGTGTAAAGAAGTCTGCATTTTATTTTGTTTTCTCCCTATTTAAATTTCTTTAATTTACCGGAGTTTTGTCTTGCGTTTTTATTTTAAATGGGTAGATGTAGTGATTCAGTAGAATATTTTTTCTTGTTTTAAATCTACACATGCATGACTCTTGACAATGGATGCTCTGAAGCTCTTTTCTTCATATATAAGCAACAACAGTCATTTCTTTTGGCAACCAGTGAGGACCAATAGGTTATAAGCTAACACGTATTCGATATAAGAGATCTAGAATACATCATATACCAGCCGCATAATATAGTACGCTCGTTCCACACGCCTTGTCGTGTGTAGGCAGGTATGAAATTTGTCCCAACAATGTATTATTTCCATTTGCCAAAAAGAATAGAAGATTGGAAATAAAGTCTGTTATTTTCAATAGGACTATTTCAAAGCTTTGTCTTAGAGAGTACAACGTTCTTCGCAACATGTGCACGAAATATCATTGCTTGAAATATTTGCCAATGAGACAACTCTCCACCACATATCAATATTGCATATGCATGCATCTAAGTAAGGAATACATTTATGTATGGAACGCCACAGCTGTCTTATGTGGTATCTGATATTACGTTATGTGTTTTAAATATAACATGATGATATTTTGTCTTTACATAATGTGGTTTTGACATTACTTAATGATGTTTTGATATTACTTAATATCGTTTTGTCATTACTTAATATCGTTTTGTCATTACTTAATATGGTTTTGTCATTACTCGATGTGGTTTCACCGTAATTTAATGTGGTTGTGTCATTAGGCAATGTGGTTAACATTACTTGATGTGTATGTGGCTTAACGTAATGTAGGTGTTTCCTTACATGATGTGATTTTGTTATTTCGTAATAATGATTTGCCAATTCTTTCTTCAAAATATGATGATTTCACACTACCTGATGTGTTCGTTCCAGTATTTGATGTGGTCCTGTCATTTTTTGATGTGGTTATCACATTACTTGATGAGGTAAAACCACGTGACCATTTTGGAAAAAAAATAGTTCTATTTTTAAACCGATTTCCATATGTCGTTGTTTGATGTACTTCGGATGAGTGTAGCTATCCATTGAGTTAATGTTCAAATTAAAGTAAGAGTTGTTGTTCAGAGTCATTTGGTATGAAAAAGGGGAACGGCAGACAAAAATAAGAAAAAAGTGCTAAAAAATTAACAATATATCGGACACAAGGGGGGGTATCCTAAAACAACTTGGTCCGGCCGTTTTTATCCTTAGTTCTCAAATGGAAGCAGTATTATGATAAATTCTAGAAGGATTCCACGGAACCCTGTGTCCCGCCTAAGATTGCTGCTGTCAGTGTAAAAGTTTAATGTTGACTGTAAAAAGTCCATTTATCGGTAAAAAACAAAATTTGAAAATTTGTTTTTCTGTAGGTGCTTTATCTTGATCTTGAAGATTAATTCCTGTACAAGTTTCATAACAATTCATGGAGGTTTACAAATTTATCATGACAAAACAGTTTAATTCGGTAATATTTACGGCAAAAAAAATTAATATAAAAATAAGAAGATGTGGTAT